GGAGCGGGAGGGGGGCTGGGGGTTCTGAGGGGGGCAGTCGGGGGTGGGAAGTGGGAGGGGGTGGATGGGGGTGGGGCTAGAGCAGGGCTCTACCCCCCCCCCCGTGTCCTCTTTTTTGATTGTGGAAATATGGTAACCATACCTTGGGGACGGAAGGGTTTGTTGGTTAATAATTATGAAATATTGTATAGTAGATTGATCATTGCACCTGGTTCCTGACAATCCAAATAACACATACCAGTACCCAGCAATGCTGAATATGAATTCTGGAAACAAAGATGCACATAGAGAAGAGGGATAGACCTAGATAGTAGGTGATGGGTATTGGTAGTAGAAAGGTATCCTAGTGGATGCAGGGGTATCCTGAGAAAGAGACGAAGGAGCTAGCAGTTATATGGGAAGGACTAATGCTAGGGGCAGGAAGGGGCCTTGGAGAACCAGGCCATGTTCAGCATAGCTGCTGCACTGTGGTAGGGGCTAGTTGAAGTATCAAATATCTGGACTGATATTTGGAATCAGATTTGTACGAATATGAATGACAAAAATGGCCGGATTCATGCTCAAATGGATTCATCAGATCACTGATCAACAGAGCTGGGCCTCAGCCATAAAGTTCAGATCCTGATGCTAACTCTTCCCCCTTCTCCTCTCCCCCCACCCCCCCCCAAAAGCTATGAAGGAAGAGGGTTCAGGGTTCTGCTTTAGGCCCATCACTACCAATTAACTAATAGTATTGAGTGAGGGGAGGGAGAGGGAGGGTCTGTGTGAGGCACTCTCAATGATTGAAAACATTAAATTCCTATTTCCAGTTTTTGGAAGCTGACTTCCCCACATTTGCTCTCCTTGGCTTCTGTGTGGCTGTTACTAATAAAGCTAAGTGATCTATATTTGCCTTCTAGTCTCATGGGTATTGTAGGTAGCTTAATTATTTACAGAAATTTGCTCTTCCCCCCCCTTAGAAGAAAAGAAAGATGAGAAGACAAAGAACTAAGTTGTCTCTATTGCCATTGTAATGAAAAAAGCAAACATCTCTCTCTAATAGTCATTACTTGAATGTAGAGTTCACCAATTGTCACTAGTCAAATCTGATGTCCAATCCCTGGGCTATGGCGCTTTATGATAGAACAAATGCACAATGGACCGTTATTGCTGCATGTACCCTGTAGAAAATGGGACTTTTTTCAGTCAGTGCTGAAGCAACATTTCACACATTGTTTGCAGCTTTATTCTTCATTCTAACCATTCTATAACAAAACAAACTGCAAGCTAGTTTAGAGTTGAGCTGGTTAGGAAGGGAGGAAAGGAACAATAAAACACATTGTGGAAAGGTTGTTTTGCAAGAGGAAGCAAAGTCTTTCAGTTAGGGCGTGGACTAGGACTTGAGTAGTGTTACTGACTACAGCATAGACCACCTGCATGACCTTGGACAAGTCACTTGAATCTCTTTGTTTCCCATCTATAAAATGGAGCTAATGCTTCCTTTCTCTACAGGGATATTGTGAAGAGAAATTCCTTAACGTATGAGTGGTGCTGAGGGAGTACGGTGATGAGTGCTATAGAAAAGCCTATATGTAAATAAATTTTTTCCCTATGAACTCTGTAAATTGTATGGGTAGGCTGCTGATTGTGATGCAGACAGTCAAAAAATTCAACAGATGGTTCAGATTCAATAATAAAGACATGCAAAAAGAATTACTCTTTCTTTCATAATACCTAATCCTGTTAGCTCAGCATGGAAGCATATTGGCAGGAACTTGGGCTGCCACTGCCCATGATGTATTGGTTCTCTAGATAAATCAAGAACTTAATTCTTTGTGGCTGGCAGCCTAACCCCTTGCACGAGTTCCTCACTTTTCAAAACAATTTAGCTTATGTGGATTTTTTAAATTGCATACAACTTCCTTTTATGCACATAGTTGGGGCCAAATTCTGCTCCCTACCGGATGTTGTGAAGAACCTTTGATTGTTAAAACCAATGGTACAAGCTGTGCAGTAAGATACTCTTCAGCGTGAGTCAGTGTATTGGCATTTGGCCCTTTGTGTCTCATGTACCCTTAAAATTCAATAAACCGTTTCTTGTTTTTAAAAAAAAAATCTATAATGCGTGTTTTTTTTTTAATGCTCTTTCTTGCAGAGTTCCAAAGTGCTTGCAAAAAAGGAACTTTCTTACGTGCCTATCATTGGTTGGATGTGGTATTTCCTAGAGATAGTCTTCTGCAAGCGTAAATGGGAGGAAGATCGGAAAACTGTCATGCAGAGCTTGCTCAATCTCCGGGATTACCCTGAAAAATTTTGGGTAAGTGGTGACAGGGGAGTGGAGTTTAGGGCACTTTTGTTTCTCAAAGGACAGAGAACATAAATGCAACAGCCCTTCACTGGTTCAATGCTGTGAATTTGGTTTAGTGTTTCTTGAACTTCCCAGAAAAGTCAGAGAACAATGAGGAGAATTTGAATGTCTTTCACTAACCCTCTACCAAGACAGAACAATGGGAATGCCAAGGAAACAAATAGGGATATAAATTGTATAGGTGGCATTTATTTATCCTGGGATTCGATCAGTTCAGCAAACTCCATGCACCTCTGAACCTGGAAGTTTAGAGGTCTATGGAAAAGTTGAGTGTGGATATGACAATGTACCAAATATATGTATTTTTAATTTCCCCTCTTCTACCCCTGTTCTTTCCATTTTGATGTTCCTACTCTCACCCCCACGCTCCATTTCTCCTACTTTAATCCCATCTCTCTTGAGGCCCATGTGGCAGTCACTGAATCAAACTCAGCACTGATGTAAGTGAATTAACTCAGAGTTCAGAGTAGCAGCCGTGTTAGTCTGTATCCGCAAAAAGAACAGGAATACTTGTGGCACCTTAGAGACTAACAAATTTATTAGAGCATAA